GTCAAGTAATGCTTTTTAGGACTTTCCTTGTAGCGGTCATTTGAAATCATGGGTGAGTGTTTCCCTAGGATGGATATCTAGAAATGGAATTTCTGGGTCACAGGTGGATACACATTTTCAGCTTTACTAGCTACCACCAAAAACCACTCTCCAAAATTATGTTTCTTTTTTTATGTAAATTGTTCTATTTTTTTATTTAAAAATTTGTTAAATGTTTATATATTTTTGAGAGAGAGAGAGACACAGAGAGAGAGATAGAGAGAGACAGACCATGAGCAGGGGAGGGGCAGAGAGAGGGGGAGACACAGAATCTGAAGCAGGCTCCAGGCTCTGAGCTGTCAACACAGAGCCCGATGCGGGGCTCGAACTCACAAAGTGTGAGATCATGACCTGAGCCGAAGTCAGACGCCTAACTAACTGAGCCACCCAGGCGCCCCTTAAATTGTTCTATTTTTATTTTTTATTTGTATTATTTTGTTTTAATTTACATCCAAGTTAGTTAGCATATAGTGCAATAATGATTTCAGGAGTAGAATCCTGTGATTCATCCCCTACATAGAACACTCAGTGCTCATCCCAACAAGTGTCCTCCTTAATGCCCCTTGCCCATTTAGCCTATGTCCCCTCCCACAACCCCTCCAGCAACCCTCAGTTTGTTCTCTGTATTTAAGAATCTTTTATATTTTGTCCCCTCCCTGTTTTTATATTATTTTTGCTTCCTTTCCCTTATGTTCATCTGTTTTGTATCTTAAATTCCACATATGAGTGAAGTCATATGATATTTGTCTTTTTCTGACTAATTTCACTCAGCATAATACACTCTAGTCTCATCCACGTTGTTGTAAATGGCAAGATTTCATTCTTTTTGATTACCCAGTAATACCCCATTGTATATGTATACCATATCTTCTTTATCCATTCACCCATCGATGGACATTTGGGCTCTTTCCATACTTTGGCTGTTGTTGATAGTGCTGCTATAAACATGGGGGTGCATGTGCCCCTTCGAAACAGCACACCTGTATCCTTTGGATAAATACCTAGTAGTGCAATTGGTGGGTCTGAGGGTAGTTCTATTTTTAATGCAAAATATGTAATTTCTGTTTTAACTTGGATTTTCGTAGTTATGTATGAAGTGGAGCATATTTTCACATGTTTATTGGCCGTCAGGTTTCCTCTCCTATGAACAATTTGGACATATTCTTTGCTCCTTTTTTCTTTAAGTGTATTTATTTTAAGAGAGAGAATAAGCGTGAGTGGGGGAAGGACAAAGAGAGAGGGAGAGAGATTGAGAATCCCAAGCAGGCTCCACTCTGTCAGTGCAGAGCCTGACATGGGGCTCGAACCAAGGAACTGTGAGATCATGACTTGAGCCGAAGTTGGACGCTTAACTGTTGAGCCTTCCTTCCAGGGGCCCCTGCTCATTTTTTTTCTACTGGAGTTTTGCCTTTGTCTTACTGGTATAATTTTATATTTTGTATTTTAGGACATTAATACTGGTTAGTTATATAAGATTCAAATATCTTTTCTCAATCTGTTGTATATCTTTCAACATTTTAATGTTCTCTTTCACCTTCAGAAGCTTTAAACGTTCATGTAATGAGACTTATAAATATTTTCTTATAAGGTTTCTGCTTTTTCATCTTGGTTAAAAAAGTCTTTTTTTTTAGCCACAAAGGTTTAAAGAGAATCTCCTCTATTTTAGTCTAATAATTTCAAAGTTCTGTTCTTTATATTCAGGTCTAAAACATCTGGAGCTTATTTTTATGCATGGTATGAGGTGGGGATCTAATCTAATTTTTACTGAATCCAGTTTTAAAATACCTGTACCTAAAAAAATAAAATAAAATAAAATAAAATACCTGTACCTACCATGTGCTAGACATTGTTGTAGGCACTTTGAATACAGTGTTAAAAACAACAACATTACTGTTGGCATTGTGAATTATGTTTCATTAAAGCTGTTAGAATATTCCTGCCCCTGTGGAGCTTACATTGTACTTGGGAGATATATAATAAACATAATAAATAGGCATATTACATCGTATGTTGGGAGATGCTAAATGTTATGGAAAAAATAAAGCAGGATAAAGGAAACTCGGAGTGCTTGGTCGAGAGGGTAAGTTGTAACTTTGAATAGGGTGGCCGGGGTTCGTCTTATTGAGAAGTCGCTATTTGGGAAAAGGTTTAAAGAAGTGAAGGAGTTGCCATGTGAATACTTGAGGGATAATAAAAACTAACCCTGTATCATACATACTATGTGCCATGCTTTGTTCCAAGCACTTTACATGTATTTATTTACTCACTTATTCCTTACAATAACAGATATTTCAACTGATATTTATGAATTGCACAAAACCTTCTGTTGGGATTTTCGTTGGAATTCCTTCATATATATAGATTATCCTGGAGAGGACTGATAGCCTTACAGCATTGCATCTGGCCATCCATAAGCACGGTCCGGTTCTACATTTATTCACAGTTTCTGTTATGTTCTTCAATAATTTTACAATTTTCTCAATAAAGTCTTAGACATGTTTGTGGGCTTTATTCCTATGTACTTTATAGTTTTGTGGTGCCCATAAACAGTTTGCATATATTTTCAACTTCACTTCCTGTTGCTTAACCTCCCCAACCCCAGATCCTACTGTCTGCGTTTTTGATAGGTAAGGTGCTCTAGTGATTAATTGTGTGTGTGTGTGTGTGTGTGTGCCCGCACGTGTGCACGCGTATGATGAATGGTCTTGCTACCTGATCCTGATCTCTAAGCTGAGTTTGATTAACCCACATAACAACATATCAAGAAAGATCTGAATCTTTCCCCTTTTCCCCTTCATGATTTTTACAAGATACATACTCGTGTCCTGTCTCCTCAATGAGTCTTCAAGCTCCTCAGAGGGCAGTGACCGATGTCTTAGACTCTGCATCTTGCCTGGAACACATGGTAATTACTCAAAACATCTTAGTGTCACTTTCCCCACAATGGGGTTGTCGTACGTTTTCTTCAGTGTCTTCACTCCACTGAGCCCTCAACATGACTCTCCCTTGATCGTCAAAATTGACTTCCATACATACAGATGCACTTTCTTGCTGGGCTCTTGCCTGTGACCTCCTTTCTGCCAGTAATCCTTCTCCTTTGAGGAAGTGGGAGAGAACTCTTGATGCGTAGCTGAGAGTTCTTTGAAAGGAAATACGTTAGTGAGATGATCTAGTCCAGTTTTTGCAAAAGGTTTATCCATAAAACATTAGTCGATGAGTTGCTCTGGAAAAAAAGTTTTTGAAAAAAAAAAAAAAAAAAAAAAAGCAGGAAGGCCTTTAGGCAAAATTGCCTTTTTGGAGACACATGCCACATTTAAAGTATATTAAAGGAGAAGTTTTATGGTAAAGAAAACAAATTTTGCCTATCCCACTACTTTAAAAAATTTTTTTTAACGTTTTATTTATTATTGAGAGACAGAGAGACACAGAGAGTGAGCAGGGGAGGGGCAGAGAGAGGGGGAGGCACAGAATCCGAAGCAGGCTCCAGGCTCCGAGCTGTCAGCACAGAGCCCGACGCGGGGCTCGAACTCACGGACCGCGAGATCATGACCTGAGCCGAAGTCAGACGCTCAGCCGACTGAGCCACCCAGGCGCCCCTAACTCCTGTATGTTTAAGTTTTATCATGCCATACATTCTTATATCCTCACCAGAAATAAAAAAAAATTTTTTTTTCTTTGAGTCCTTATACAAAATCAATTGCTATCCGTTTATGGAACACTTCTGATGTGCAATAAAAAATGAAGACACTGGCCTTGCTGGACAAGGAAGCTGCAACCCTTATTTTGAGTTGCCCTATTTCCCTCTTCCTATTCCTTGATACTTCTCTGCCCCTGACCTGAATAACCCTGCGTTTTCAGGAGGTGGCCACAGTGTGAGGCAGAAAGAAATGGAAAAGATAATAGATAATAGAGACTGGAGGCTTGCTAAGCCAACACCTTCCATCAGGGAAGGAATATCATTTTTTATCCCACTTTGAGGCATCTTGCAGTAAAACACATGCACGCACACAAAATGCTTACCTATTAATCACCAACAGCTATATATTAAAAAGGAGGGTTAATTGTATTAGGAATCAGATAGAAGATCATTACTGAGCAGGCTATTAGCTCTGACCTTCCTGGATGCCAAGAGAAAATGGAGTCATGATGGTTCAAGGTGCTACCCATTAATGCATGCAGCCTTGGTTGTGAAGATGGCAGCCGGCCCCTACTTTAGTCTCTCATCATTCTCTTCTTTTGTCTTATAGTCTGGCCTGATTTAATAAATTGAATTTGGTGGGTTCCTTCCCTTTTATAAGGTGTTTGATCTGAAGAAGACAATTAGCAACACATAGGAAGTTGGAGGAGAGACTAATATGCATCTCACACTTCACATGGCAAGGTCTCTGGGTTGGACTTGAACTCTCAAACTCTCAAAGGCAAATGCCACAGATTCCATTAGCTAGATTACTACAGCAAGCTATAAGGTCTTTGGGATCCTTTTCCTCCATCCCCCATGAAGTTCTGGAAGTACTGGCCTTTGTCTTATGCTTTTCATACTCCCTCATAGTGTATTCCACTGAGCTTATTTCAAAAACAACCAGGTGTTGGGTGCGTGAACTAAGGTGCCTTCAAGAATGTCTTGTCTCAAGAAGGTGAAAGGGAGAGAGCTACAATTTCTAAGAAGCCTGGTTTGACTCTCTGAGCCTGGTCCCCAGGCAGAATAGGCTAAGGTTTTGGCCAAGTGAAATCGCCAGTTCCTTTTTTAAAAAAAAGCAGGGGGTGGGGGGTGGGGAGGGCTAGCACATTGCTCATTAGAACATTCTGCATTTGCCTGTGCGATCTTTTTGCTACCCTGCAATTTCCTGTTGGTTATAAATGAAACCTTTCGAGCTGTTAATGCAGCCTGTGAATTGAAAAAAAAAGCATGTAATTAATCATAGGAGTTGGGGGGGATTCACTAAGCCTGAGTTATAGGGGAAAAGCTGGACAAGGCACTAGGACCTAGAAGGCATCTATCCACCCTGGCAGGAATTTCTTGCTTGGAGCTCAGACAACAAAGGCATAGAGAGATTGGTTTTCTTTCTCTCAGCATCTCCACCCAACCAGCAGAAAACCGGTGAGTGGGGCTTTCCAGTGATTTTCAGGCAGAATGTAACAGATGTCAAACGGGAAAAGCACAAGGCAAAGCGCTTGCTCTAGCTCTTTCTATTTCTCTCCTTCTCCTTCTCTGATTTTTTTTTTAAATTTATTTTGCCTTATCCTATCGGATTTTTTCCTAAGCCTCTACCTGGGATTTTCCTTTGGAAAAGTGAGTTTGATGTTCCTTTGTTTTCACTGTGATGAATAATACTTTAGAGTAATACCACCCTTGATCCTAAAGCAAAGCCAAGTGTTACTCGCATGCCTGGGGAAATGCTTGCTACTTGTATTGAGGAGGTGGGGTCTCTTACCACTGCAGGTTGTCTGACAGAGACAATGCTGAGCTCAGCACAGGTCATGGTGACATTGGAAGAAAAGGGGGACCGAGCCTGGCAAACCTACTAGACACCCGTCCTCCTTTATCTCCTGTCCTCCTGGTCCCTTGCAAATTTCTCGATGTGGCAGTGTGTAGCAGCTGAGCCCTGCTTGCTTTGTGAGTCCTTTTATCCCCATCTGTGAGATGCATGTTAATAGTTTGGTTCATAGGCTATGGTCACTACCTTTGCTAGCGCTTGAGGCTTCTGTTGTGTTTGGTTTCATGATTTCATTTCTTTCTTTCTTTCTCTTTCTTTCTTTTTTCTTTCTTTCTTCTTTTTTCTCTTTCCTTTCTTTTCCCTTCCTTTCCTTTTCTTCTTTCTTTCTTTCTTCCTTTTCCTTTCCTCATTTCTTTCTTTCTCTTTCTTCTTTCTTTCTTTCTTTCTTTTTCTTCCTTTTCCTTTCCTTTCCTCATTTCTTTCTCTTTCTTTCTTTCTTTCTTTCTCTCTCTCTCTGGTTCAGCAGAAAGGGAAAAAATAAATCTGACAGATGACCATCTTTTGCCTCAGCTAATGCACCTGGGCAATAGACAAGTTTGGGGTGAATTGCCCGCTGTGAGGGCAAAATGCCCCTTCAGTCAGGGTAGAAATACAGAACAATGAAAGGTGTGCTTGTTTCTGAAGGTCCCATATGCTTTTCAGGGACTCATTTGGGAATCCTTCAACAATTAAATTATTCCACTAAGAGGTGGGGCTGCATCGTTGGGGAGGGATCGTGCACATATTAAGAAACAAAACAAAAAAAAAAAAAGAAAGAAAGAAAAGGATTTTGTGACCAAATGGTGCCAGAGGGGGCGGGGGGAAGCAGAGCTGATAACTTGTTAAATAACTGATTTTTCTAATCCTTTTTTTCAGCTTATTTCTTATGAATGTCGGATAGCTGCACCAGCTTGGTGGGGAAAGGGTTTGATGAATAGCACAAAGACAGTAGCTACTCCCTGGAGGCTGTCCCTTTAAAGGAGAATCCTGGTTTATTCTGGGGGGAGGGGATGCACACATTAGGGTAGGAAAGAGGGTTGGGAATAAAATTAAAACATTCCCCGTTGTAGTCATTTGACGGAGGCACAAAGATTGCTTCCCAAACTGGAGATGCTAACCTCAGCTAGCGCCTTCTATTCTCTTTAAGGGGATCTTGTCAGGCTATGGATTCATTTACAACTGTTAGTCATGTGGGCATGTGTGAGGAAACAGATGCCAGTTTTAATGTATTTAGCCCGAAGTTACAATTTGATAGGAGCCACTGTCAATAAGTCCCAGGATTTTAAGCGATTTCAAAATCCCTCCCTCTCCTCTGTTTTGGAACAGTGCCCAAAGTGCCTCCTTCCCCATCTCCCACCCCAACCCCCCACCATCGCCAGCACCCCCTCAGCCCCTCCTTCTTCTCTATTAAGATCAATATTCCTGCAGGTCAGGGGCAAGCAGCAGATGGGTCACAGGCTTTTTTCGAGCAGTTCTTTTCACAAGCAGCAGATTGCAGAACTGGATCTGGCTAATATTTGAATTCTTTTCTTTTCTTTTCTCCCCCTCCCTGCCCCTCTTTCTTTGCCTCCCCTCACCCCCTTTGTCCAACACTCAGGTCTCTGAGGTTCCACCAAAATATGGAACTTGATTTTGGACATTTTGACGAAAGAGACAAGACATCCAGGAACATGCGAGGCTCACGGATGAATGGGCTGCCCAGCCCCACTCACAGCGCCCATTGTAGCTTCTACCGAACCAGAACCTTGCAGGCACTGAGCAACGAGAAGAAAGCCAAGAAGGTACGTTTCTACCGCAATGGGGACCGCTACTTCAAGGGGATTGTGTACGCTGTATCCTCTGACCGTTTTCGCAGCTTTGACGCCTTGCTGGCTGACCTGACTCGATCTCTGTCTGACAACATCAACCTGCCTCAGGGAGTGCGTTACATTTACACCATTGATGGATCCAGGAAAATCGGAAGCATGGATGAACTGGAGGAAGGTAATTTCAAGGGTGGTGGCTCTTGGTGGGAGGTGGCATCGTTGGCTATGGTTACATTTCTTGGAGTTCATGGGAAAAAAAAATTAGGAATTATGTTTGTCAGAGCACCAGGTCGATGCCGAGACTCTCTGATCCTATAGGCATCGACAGACCATTAGGCATTGCTCTTCATGGCCTTTAGTCTCTGCTGGCGTTGGAGCGTGGTTGGCGGTGATAATGCATTGTGCTCATCTGTCAGGGTACAAAGGAAAATCTGAATTGTGTCATTTACTCTGGATCTTGTTCATAGTCAATTCTAAGTAGCATTATTGAGGCAGGCCATGAACTCCTTAGGGCTGTAAAATGAAGAAGGAACTTTGGTTGGGTTAACAGAAAGGTATCCAAATATCCTTTGAGCTGCTGAGAGACTGTGAATTGCTGCGCATGGAAGTAGGCGTCCTAAAAGCAGGACTTCCTGGACATATTCATAAAGGATTATCCTTTTAGGTAAGTGGTCACTGCTCAGCTGTTGCTTCTAAAAAGCCCACTTCAGGGTGTGTCCCTAAGGCTGAGGTCATTGAGAGAAATGCCAAAGAAAGCTGTAGGTATGTCTGGTATTTTAATAAAGACTATTCCTATTAGAATAGGAACTGACTCACTGTACCTAAGTCCCTTTAAATCCTCTCTAGAGTTTGGTTCTACAATCGGATTTTATGACTATGTTGCTGAAAACCCAAAAAACCTGGTACCCTCTCAAAAAGCAGGGACATCTCAGCTCTTACCAAAACCTTGCTCATCCACGATGCCTTTCTCTGTGGTTATGTAGAAGATTGATCTTGGGACACGTGCTTAATACTGTACGTTATCAAGTCAATTATATGGTGGATGCCTCCCTATCCCCGCTTTTAAATCGCTATAACATGGAATCCGTTTAACTTGACACGGTGCTTTAAAGGACAGCTTGGAGGGACGGTGATCATGCAAATGGCCCTCCCCAAACCCTTTCCTCCAACCCTCTAGCCCCACCTCCTCACCCCTTCCGTTCCCTGAGGAAAGGTGAGTTTAGAGCAGGCAGATCTCTAGGGAAGCCAGATTATGAAGCAGCCAACAAGGAATGAGAAACAGCGCATTAAATGACTTGGTGTGGGAGTGCCCCGCCTCTGCTTCACTGCTTCTAGCTTTCTTGTGTTCTTAGACAAAGGAGCATGAGGGCTTCCCTTGCACAAGACCATGTTCTCGCAAGTCGCTGCTGTTTCTCAGGCCAGGTCAAGGGATTTGGGGCCAGTTGCTGATAAGAGACAGTGTCCATACAGCTACTGGCTCTGGGTCTCATGGTTCAAGTCTGAGGTTTTTTCACATAACTGACCTTGAAAAACAATGCTAAGAAGGCTCAGATTATTTGATCGTGTGCCAGATGACCAGGCAGAGGTTAATCTGAGACTTTTTCTGAACATGCAAGGATTGACTATCCTAGCACGTATCTTAAAGGAGAGACAGGGCAAACTAGAAGGACTTGGCCCGAGGTTGAGGGAGCTGTCCAACAGAGTAATTGGTAGGGTGTTCATCTTTTGTCACTGTAAAGCCCATGTGTCAGTCGAATCTGAGGGGTGCCTCCGTCATAATTTTCACAAACAAAGCACCTTGAATCACTCAGTATGTCCTCATTGCCACTAGTTGTGATTTGTTAAAGGCCATGACAGATGCTAAGGCAGAATTCTGAACCAAGGGACATTGTATTTCAAGTAGGAATTAGAATGTTCTTGTGTCTGATCTAAGAGAAGTGTCATGCACAGATTTCCCCCCTCCCCAGATCCATTTTTTAACATATCTTGCTCAAGGACAAGCCCTTGATATTGATTTTTTCCCCTAGATGTGTGTGTGTGTGTGTGTGTGTGTGTGTGTATGTTTTGTGATAATCTCAGTTCAATATAGATAATAAATGTAATTTTGAAGACTGCACCCTTTCTCCTGACCCTTTTGAGTCCTGCTAGATTGGACTCTTCCCCTGGGTGCATTGGTAGTGCTTCCTGGGTTATATAGAATGTAAAGAAGGCTCACTCGCATTTATGCATGTATCATCTGCATCCACAAGCTGCAGTGACCTCCCAGTCCTTAGTACTGCTCATTCAGTCAAGGAAATTCTGGGGTATCTCTAAGATAATATTGAGAAATGTGGCCAGCTTTCCCACTGCTGCAGAGCCAGATGGGAAAGGGCACTGGGGATGAGGAAGATAAAGAAGAAGAAGGTTTTTTTTCTCTCCTGTTTTGCCCTTTGGAACTACTCTTCTGGGAATGGAGGGCAGAAGACCCTCACTTTGTTCACCATTGGAAGAGGTTGAATGAAAGATTAAGAATATTCATGCACACTGTTCCCCAAGAGACTTCACGCTGAAAAAGTTTGGAAAGATCCCTGTTGAAGAATCAGAGGCAGCAGGTTCTAGTCTTAGAGGCAGAAGGTTATTGCAGGAAAAGGAGTCTTTGGAATCAGATTTGTTTCCAATCCAAGATCTGCCACCTGCTAGCTGGTGTGACCTTGGGGAAACCATGTAGACTCCCTGAGCCTCAGTTTTTCATCTGTAAAGTGGGAATAGCTGCTTTGAGGATTAAATAAGAAAATGGGTATGAAGTTGTTTACTATTATTCCTGGTATACAGGAATAAAGGGTAGCTATGACTGTTGGGTTGTCCTAGTTTATAGCTGGTTAGCTACATAACTTATCGTCACGGTAAATAATGTTCTCCTTTGTAAAACAGCATTTTTGAAGAAAACTGCCATTTTAAGGTATAATTTACACAATGTAAAAATCACCCATTTAGGTGTACAATTCAATGATTTTTTTTAATTTTAAAATTTAAAAAAAATAATTTTTAAGTTTATTTATTTATTTTTGAGAGACAGAAAGAGAGATAGAGAGAGAGGGAGAGAGAGAATCCCAAGCAGGCTCCACACTGTCATTCCAGAGCCCAATGCAGGGCTTGAACCCACGACCCATGAGATCAATCAAGAGTCAGACGCTCAACCAACTGAACCACCCAGGCGCCCCTACAATTCAATGATTTTTAGAAAATTTACCAAGTGATGCAGCCATCATCATAATCTAATTTTAGATAACTCTCGTCACCCTGAACGGAAACCCTGTACCAATTAGCTGTCATTGTCCATTTCCCTCACTCTCTCCAGTCCTAGGCAACAACTTACCTACTCTATGTCTCCACAGATTTGCTTATTATATAAACTGAATCATATACCATGTGGTCTTTTGTGACTGGCTTATTTCCCTTAGAAAAGTGGTTTTAAGGTTTATTCATGTTATACCATGTATCAACACTTTGGTCCCTCTTATTGAGGAATAATACTCCATTGTATGTATGAACCACATCTTGTGTATCTATTGTAACATTTGTGTGAGACTAGTAACACCTGCCTTCTTTACCTATCAGGGTGGTTGTGAGGATATAATTAGATAATAGCTATGGAAACGCATCGACAAGGTAAAGCTATAGCTACAAGGTATTATTGTTAATGATGTAAAAAAATAAAGCAATAATGATGACACTACTGAGGGGGTCAGTGGGATCCCAGAGCCCGTGGGATGGTCAGTGGCTCCCAAACCTGGCTGCCTTTCAGATTCTTTCAGAGATTCAGGAAAATATCAATTCCTGGGTCATACCCCAGATCTATTGAATCAGAATCCCCAGGGCTAGGGCTGCAGAATCTATGTTTTTAACAAATCTCCCCAGGTGATCTTTTAAACTTGAGAAATACTGGATTAGGTGATCCTGATGGTCCCTTTCAGCTAACTACAGTGATGGGAGTTCCTAGGAGTGAAGAAGTCCTTGGTTTGGTTTGGTTTTGTTTTTTTCCTTTGTAGACCTTAAAGGAATAATGGAGCATGGAACATACGGTTTCCAAATGGCCACGTTGTTAAATATTTAGAAAAAAATAAAATGAAATAAAAAACAATTGGTATTGGTTAATAATCACTCTGGCCTGTTACACTCCTTGTCTAATGCCTCTAGTCTACTGTTTGCTGCTAGATGCTGAAAGTCGCAAGGGTGACATTTTGGACCCAAATCAGGTTATTTATCTCAGCTTTTCCACAGCTCTTTGGGTACACAAGGAGTCTTAGTGAAGCCATGTAGGCTGTGGTCGTATTATGTGTTAGTCATATTCCCAGTGGGTCAATGAATGTGACTCTTCCTTTTGTCTTGCTTAGTCTTTCCTTGCAAAATCATTCTCCTTCCCTTCCTGCCCAGTTCCTTCCTCACTTCTTTGTGAGTACCCAGATCAATCTTCGGGGTATTATTTTGAGCGTTATTACGTGGAGCATGGGACAGAATATTGACAATTGGGACCGTCTTGCTGGAAAATCTGAGTTGAACAGTGACATCAGTTATGATCCAGACCCTTTGCCATAACTCATTTGAGATGAGATGAGATGAGATGAGATGAGATGAGATGAGATGGAACCACCTTCTCACTAACTTATCCTCTAGCTCCTAAAGCAAGCACATTGCCAAAGAGAAGGATTTAAAGACACCTGGGAGACAGGTACATCATTAATAGATAGGATAATACAATGCAGTATCATTTAATATTTTCCTTCTTGAATGAGGAAGTTCTGGAAAAGAGGAGAAAGCCCAGGCAGAAGTGTTTTCACACTGAGAAAATATGAGTGTATTTCATGTTTTTGAAAATGGAGCCATCCTGAAAATGAAGGGAGGTGGACATAGATCATCTTTAAAAAAATGTTTTTTAATGTTTATTTATTATTTTTGAGAGAGAGAGAGAGAGAGAGAGAGAGAGAGAGAGAGAGAGAGAAGGGGAGGGGCAGAGAGAGAGGAAGACACAGAATCCAAAGCAGGCTCCAGGCTCTGTGCTGTTAGCACAGAACCTGATGCGGAGCTTGAACTCAGAAACCACAAGATCATGACCTGAGCGGAAGTCGGACGCTTAACCGGCTGAGCCACCCGGGCGCCCCGACATTAGATCATCTTGAGCCCATATCCTGTTCCCTTCCTGCCCTTTCAGCTGTGCTTCCATGACTTCATTTCCTTACCCTCTTTCCCCCTGAAGCAGATCGTCAGTTCCAGCAAATTGTCACCTTGCTTGGCTCTGGCTTTCTTTCTAGGCTCCCAATGGGTGGGAAGTGGCCCCCGCAAGCTGTGGCAGGATTGGAACCCAGCTGTGTAAAGGTGCAATACACCTCATCCAGCTCCAAGTGCCAGGCAGCTGGACGGGCAGAAAGCACCCAGCTCTGGCAGCAGATGTTGCCGATGTTTGCAAAATGAGAACAAGGAAGCCTTGGTCTAGAGACGCAGCAGCACGTTTGATGTCTTTCCAGTGGTACAAGTGGAGAGTCCTCAGTAGTGGGCGCCTATTTCTTTAAAGTTTAATGACCCTCATAACGTTACCTCCTCCAGCCTTTTGGGGATGGAAAAGAGAAGAAAATTCCTTCTCGTGGATCTTTAGGTCTGGAAGGAACTGAGATGTCACCTAGTGTAATACCTTCTATTTATAGATGGAAAAGCTGAGACTTTGAGATTAAATGATTTGCTGAGGTCACACAGCTCCCAAAGGCCTGATTGGGACTGGGATTCAGGGTCTGACTTCCCAAGTTGCTGCCCTTGACCACTGTAAATATCCTGCCCTCTGGTCAGGGATGTTTGATTACAGGGGAGGCTATGCATGTGTGGGGACAAGAGTTGTGGGAGAAATCTCGGTACCTGCCCCTCAATTTTGCTGTGAACCTAGAACTGCACTAAAAAGTATAAAGTCTTAAAAGGATCCTGCCCTCAGCATGCATCATCAGTGGCACCACGTGGCTTCGCTGGGTGTTAACCATGGAGTCCTACATGTGACTTTTTCAACAACTGGATACCTCCTCTTATCCAGTAGGAAACTGTTATGTTCGAGGCATGAGACCTGGGTAGTGGTCATGTTATATACATGATTATAGCTCAGTTCCAAGATGGCTGCTGCTGCTTCTTTCTTTTTTTTTTTCCCTTGGGCTTTTCCTCCTCCTCTTTTCATCTCCTTCCCCTCAGCTCTTTCTTCCTCCTTGCTTCTTTCCTCTTTCTTTCTTGTTCTCTCTCTATTCTTTCAGATGAGGGCCTGAATGATAACCATAGCTAGAGTTTCTCAAGTGTTTCCCATGCACTAGGCTCTGGGCTCAGCAGTGTCTATCCATCATCTCATTTGTGCCTCACCACAACCTTACGAGGTAGGTATTGTTATTATCATTCCCACTTTGCAGACAACTTACTGAAGCTGGGGGAGGTTAGGTAACTTGCTCAAGGGCACACAGCTAGGAAGTGCTGGAGACCCTATTCTGACTGACATCACATCAGCTGCTCTTTTTCCATTACTCCATGTTGAGGCCAAAAGGAGAGAGTGGAGAGACTAAAATGTACTGTTGGAAGGTGCTCAACATAGATTTGGCTGAGAGCTGGGCCCTCTGGAAAGTTCTTGGTGCCATATGATACTATAGCTGTCTGCCATCATGTTCATTTTCATCTGGGGGTGGTTAATCATACTCATAGTTCAGAGGCTTAAGAGGTTTAAGACATGGGAGCAAAATAAGTCCAGAGTCCTAATAGGGCTACACAGCTGACTCTCCAGAGGAGACTGTAGATGAGTGAAATCATAAATATATAGCCTCACACATTTCTACACCACCAGTTGTCAGAGTTTTAAAGTACTTGACAAGTTATGGAAAACATCTGACTTAAAGGCACTAACCTCTTGGAAGGTACCCGTGAATCTGGTGGAGTGCTAAGGCAACGGGCCATCTCGAAGGGTGTGGGGGGATATTGGCTGTGAGTAGATGGGGGAATTGAGCGGGCTCCTTCACCCCTTAAAGTCACAAATTAAAGACCCTAGCCTCTAATCCCTTGGGTTAGGTTGGATTTGCCAGCAAGGGAGCGAGAGAGTTTAGGGTTTCTTTCGACTGAGTTCTTTGACTACGCCATCCTGGGTGTGCGTACGTGCACCACGTGGGAGAGGACGCGTATGTGCACCTACAAACCTCCCCCTGGCCCCCTGACAAGACAGAACACCAATGGCCTCTTGGACTCAGAGCAGTGTTGGAAGCCACTCACCCTTCCCCTTCACAAACACACATAAATGTCCTCAAAGGTGCCCTAGAGAATCTGACTGAATCTTCTCTCAGCACTAACTGAAAAATTTATTAATTAACATGACTTAAAGGATTTGGCGCTGCAGCAAAGCAATCAATATTTGCAAAAGGAGGGAATTATCAGCCCGGTGTTTCTGAATGTCCCTGCATGGTTCTCCTGCTGAGACCAAAGGAAGAAGAGCCATCAGTCCGTAATTGTGTGTAATGCTTTCTTTGCACTGGCTAGGGTTGACCAACTTATTTATTTAGAATTGTTACTGATGAGTTAAGCCTGATTAACTCACACTAGCTTTCCGCAGCTTGACCTCTGGATGAACTTCTATATACCTTCAGGCTAATGTGTTTTACTCAACAAATTCAACCTTTTCCAATACTGTCTCCTCCAGGCTGAGCCTACCTCTCTTCCTCTTTTCTCCAGCTTCTAGTCCCAGGTGTCTACTCCCCGCCACTGCCTTGCCTCTGGCCCCGGTGTTCCTTCCGCTGTATTAGTCATTTCCTGTAGCCCAAGATAAATGTGAAAAGTACACTAGATTCCTCCAATCCATAAATCTAGCTGTATAACATATTCTTACATCTCCACCTCCTTACTTGTGGCAGCCAAGGGTGAGTCCTGGTGAAGAGAGCCTTGAACACACAGATCTAGTGTGTAGCATTGGGGAAGATGCAAAGATGAGGGGTGGGTGGTAGAAACAGGGGAACGTATTTCTCAAGCAACAGCTAGATTTGCAAACATAAGCAACGGGGTGCGTGTGTGTGTGTGTGCGCGCGCGTGCGAGCACACGCATGTTGTTATTCAGGCAGTTTCTCCACTTTGATGTGGAGGTGAGCAGTAGAGGACACAATTGTGTATATATATATATATATATACATATATACACACATATATATATGTATATATATATATATGTATATATTCACCACACACATACATTTCACATTTCAATATTCCACTGCTTAGCCACATACTCTGTGCAAAGGACAATCTGGCTTCTTGGCAGGTATGTACTATATGCCCAATGTACAAGGATACTTGGGTCACTTTAACTTGGGATAAACTATTAATTTTGAAAGTTCTCCCTGGTTTATGATATAACCATGGAATGTGGCTATGAGTCCAGAAATAGGACAGGAACATTAAGAAATAGAAACATGTTAAAAACACTCCAGTAATGCCCCTGAATATCAACAAGCATCCTAGAAATTAACATAAACATTTCAATTGCAATAAAATCGTATCAAACTCTACACTCTGGATGGAAACAAACATACTAGAAATGAACATAAACATTTCAACTGCAATAGAACCGTATCAAGCGAGAGAACCCTGCTTGTTAGATTATACTTAGATGTATGGGTTCATTGTCCTTAAAACCCTTAGCTTTATAGGATTTTTCAGCTCTTGAATTTGAATGATCCAAGTTTTAGAGAGACAGCCCAGTAAGAAATTGTGCCTACAGTTGGCTATTATCACCGTATCTCCAAAAGCCCTACTCCAAGGTCAATGTGCATTAGTTTGGTTAGAATGGTCCACATATCGGCTGTTGAACTAATCACCACTTATTTCTTCCCTTAGGGGAAAGCTATGTTTGCTCCTCAGACAACTTCTTTAAAAAGGTGGAGTACACCAAGAATGTCAATCCCAACTGGTCTGTCAATGTGAAGACATCCGCCAATATGAAAGCCCCCCAATCCCTGGCTAGCAGCAACAGTGCCCAGGCCAGAGAGAACAAGGACTTTGTGCGCCCCAAACTGGTGACCATCATTCGCAGCGGGGTGAAGCCTCGGAAGGCTGTGCGTGTGCTTCTGAACAAGAAGACAGCCCACTCTTTTGAGCAAGTCCTCACTGACATCACCGAAGCCATCAAGCTGGAGACTGGGGTTGTCAAAAAACTCTACACTCTGGATGGAAAACAGGTAGGTACTTTTTTTTTTTTTTAAAGTACTCTTCTTCTCAGTTGTTCTAGATGCCTGGATGACCATCCTGCACCTCAGGCATCATTTCTGGTTGGGGTCTCTTCCTCCGCCTCCCATCATCCCTACCTGATATTTCGGGTATCATTTGGAAGAAAGGTCTTTTCAGCAGACAAAACATTGGACTAGAAATCTGAGGCTTTGAAATTCAATCTGCTTCTGTTTCATCAAGTAGGATGGTCACTTAGCCTCAGCTTTCTTATCTGCTGAGTAAAGGACCTAGAACCTAGATCCTACACGTTCTTATAAATCTGAATGGGGCTATCACGTGATGCAACCTTGATCACTCAACGCGTATGCCTAGAAATGAGATTTGCCGGCTCATTTCTTCTTAGATGGCCTTAGGTTGGTATTCAGCATCCATTGTGGTGAAAAGAGGTTGAAGTAGCCCTCATGTTCTGTGAAAGGACTCGGATACAGGGGAAGCACTGAAGTCTCTGGTTCCTTGTCTTTGCCTCACACTAGACCACATTTTTCCTTTCTCCCTTTTCCGTGTGACATGGCTGTCTTAATTTGGTTCCACTGATGGTTTTGTGTGAGAAAGGGACTATTTCAGGATCCTAAAATTAGCCCGAGAAAGATGCTGCCATCTGTTCCTCTCCAAATCAGGTTCTTCATGTCATTGGTTATGCTACTAAAGTGCCACCTATATTAATATCTGGGAAAGAATGCAGCCAGGCGTCTCCATCAGACAGATGCACCATTCTCTTGAGCATAGGGAGCTGTAAATGTATGACAAAATATGTTCCAAGAGAATTGGAACACTGGCTGGTTCTGTTAGCTCTAAAGAGAATCCTGGTCCCCCATGAGAGAAGACAACTGCGGATTATTATTGGTCCGTACTCTCTACCTTCTTAAAATACCTTTGGTGTGTACGCAATTATATAGATTCTGAAGAAGCAGATTCACTCTCCATCAGAATGACTGATGAGTGTTCAAATGCAGAACTGTGTCTCCTCCCATGATTTCTGACATATACTGAATGCTGCAAGAGTTTAAATCTCTGGTAAAACTCAAACTCACATATTTGGGAATGTTTCTAAATTTGTGACTTTTACATGTTCCTCATTCTGTGATCTGAGTGATGCCTGGATGCATTGGTTGAATGTGATTTGTGTTTGTTGTACCAAAGCAACGAATTTACCTGCCATGGGAAAAGTCCCAACTCCAAGCATCTCTTAAAGAGGATCTCTTTCCTGAGGACCAAGTACATAATAAACAGGAGCTTCCCAGGAGCAGGCAGAATCATTGGACACCTCATCTTGGGGAAATAGAAGCCAGGGGTTTTATGATCATTGGATCTTAGCGTTGACAGTGACCTTAGAAGCCATGACATTTAATCTCCCACCTATGGCAAGGATATACTCTGCAACCATTTCAATTTCAAAAGATAGCCTATCCCACTGTTGAAAACCTGTGATTTTTAGAAAGATTTTCCTTATATCGGGCATAAGTCCACATCTCTATACCTTCAGCCTCTTGGAGTAACATGTGACAAATACAAATCAAGGACTTAAGACTGAGATTCAGAAGACCTGGTTTTTATTGTAATATTGCAACTCACTATGTGACCCTTGGGCTAATCACTTAGCTTTCCGAAGCCACTTCTCTATACAAGGGGGCTGATGACACCTGCCCTACCCATGCTCACAGAATTCACCTGAAGATCAAAAGAAATAATGGATACGAAAGCACTTTGTAAATTAAAACACAAGATGTAAATATGTATGCATACGATTCGCCATTAAATCAGGTATGTCAATTGCCAGACAATTTAGATATATATCTACAAATGTTAGTTCCTTTCCCTCTACTTTCCCTCCATCATTCTTAGTACAAATTCTCAGCATTTTATGGAGCTATACCACACCTTGGCATTCTGTGGTTGCTCTTAGTGGTAAATAAAGCCACACCTCCACCTCCTACGCGAGCAGGCTCCAAACCTATGATGGGTGGATTTTCATCCTACAGCAGGCCACACAGAACAGCAAGCTTTCTCCAATTCCTTCAAGCATTGGCTCCCATTTCTTTGGGGAACACAGGATAAAATGTTAGTGTATGATATAGTGTGTGTCCCGAAACATCAGTAGCAGTGCTCAAGGGAATAGGACAAACCTTTGTCAGGCATCAGTACCTCTGAATACAGTTCCTTCTCCTTAAAATGTCACTTTCTGCCTGCTTGTACCCCTGAGGGTGTCTTTTAAGGCCTGTTTCAAATATCATATTATCCCTGAAAACTTCTGTGTCTTCAGGTTCTTGCACCTCTGTGCAAGGTTAAAGCAATCTTAACCTTTTTTTTTTTTCATTCTCAGTTCTGATACATTGTGGAATCTTTATAAATGTTTGTTGATTGAACAGACTGACATAAAGCTATTCTAACTTGGCCTAGGTAGATGTTCTGAGATGTTCTGAGAAGCCCTCTGCGTTCAGTGCCCCAAACACCATCTTTAGGTCTATCAGAAAAGATAGGAGGCTTCCAAAGGAGTGTGTGTTCCCCCTGGGGAGCTCCTATTTGTTACTTACGTGGAAGTCATGGCAAGTCATGGCAAGTTAAGGCAACATTTCCCAAAGTATATTCTAAAAACCGTCCCCATCTCCTGCTCCCCAGCAGCTTTTCATAAAAGGGTTCTGTGGTCAAATAATGTTGTGAAATGTTGCAAATTATAAGCCCTTCTTAGAGATTCATGGTGCTCATTGGCACATTAAATGTTCTGAGAAGTCCTGCAGAAAGAAAACCAATTTAATTAAGACCCACGATTTCCCCGATTTTATTTAACCACAAACACTTTTTTTTTAATGGGATATACATGTATATATTCTGAAGAGCACACTAGGAAATGCTGTTTACAGAAGATGCTGAATGATTAGGAACTAACTACCCTAACCTCACTGGTTAGATTGGTATGCATGGGGTAACCCACAAATCAAACATTGTTGTGCGGTTACAGAAAGGACATTAAATAACAAAATTTGGGGGTGCAGGGACAAACCTACTAATTACAAAATAGGTGCTGAGTATACTGAAAGTTAGCCAAACTCAAAATCTTGGAGCCCAGCCCATTCCCCAATTCTGGTGATGACAGCTCTAATGTTAACACCTGTCAGTCACTTTGATTACTGGTGGGTATTCTTACTGCTTGGGAATATGATCTTCCTCAATGCAGGCTGAAGGCACATGTGTTGCAATGGTTTGGACGCGCTTGGATATTCCATGTCTGTCTTTGCCTAAATGTGGCACTAGGCAGAAAGGACAACGTATGGTCAAGGCTATTTGTTATGGAACATTTTAATCATGAAATCAAGGCCATCACTTGGATTTGGTTTTGCTTCAACTGGATCTCAGACTGACAAAAAATCACGTGGTTTTCTCCCCCTTTGTTTGAATAATGATCAGTTAAAACAGCCCAGTTGATTATTCCAGATTTATTGTTGCTTCTGCTCTTCTGCATACAGTTTGATTGATTGGCTTACGCTGATTGACAAGAAATCTACGGACATGGCTGTCATCTCTTTCTCTCTGTTTTTATTTTGGATGGCTTTTGGAGCCCTTGGTCTTTTTAGGGCTTATGATTTTCCAGTATAGAAGACAGATTTCCTGACTCATTGCCCCTGACATATTTGTGGTCTGTGTAGACAGAGGAACTAACCATCATCAGTACAAAGGGGTCCCAACTTATTCCTCACCTCAATAAGAAGTTGCTAATGAAATGAGGAGTCGGCAGGACCCTTGCTAATCTCATGGGCTATAATGGATTTCTAGGAGGTCAGGGAAAATATGAAGGGTTAGATGATGATGTATGTTAGTTAACTCCCAGATGAGATTGGTTTTTTTTTTTTTTTTGATTCTTTGGCAGCTGGATATTATCAGGAGTTGAACGCTTAACCGATTGAGCCACCCAGCACCCCCCAGCCTGACATTCATTTCTGTAAAGCATAGAGCATGGTGCTTCCATTGGAGATGCAGAGCTTTAATAATAGACTTCTAGCTTTTTGGCATCTTAAACAGGGGTGCAGCTGGTTCTCACACCATCCATATTCATGCTGCACTTATTGGCATCTCTGGTCTCAGTTTTGTCCACATGCAGGGTCTGCGCAGTCAAAGATTTATCCCTGCCTCAAGACACGTGCCTAAGGGCTAAGTATGCCCTTTAGTATTTGTGTTACCTTTGTTAGGCCCATTTTCAATTGGGTGAATTTATTTTATGTCTCTATATCTTTCTAGTACCAACTACTTGGACCAGAATTTTAGGTCTCAGAAAAATAACATGAAAGGGTTTTAGGCTGATTCCAAGGTGACCCATAGCCTTGGAAGCTAGAACAGGAGTTTTAAGACATGTTTTGAACCATAAGGTGATGAAATAGGAAAATGAGACCACAGAGGATGTTTGAATGACTGTTAAGTATTCCAGAAAAAATTTGTTCCGTCTTGCTATACTAAGTAACTGGGTGCTGCAGGCACAAAGGGAATCACGGGAAACACAGGAAGACAAGGTGGATTTAACCTTGAAAATGTTGAGTGCATTTCCCAAGGTGAATGTGTTCTTACTTTGCCTGTGTAGCCAGGTTTTCTCTCCCCCGCCCCCATCATCTCTGCCCCCTCCAGCCACATCTGGTCTTACTTATATTCCCTGGCCTCCAGTTCTCCCAGAGCCAACCTCTCTTTCCTCCTAGTGTTATGACCCTTTCAGTCAACATTTGGCTCAATAGAAAAAGCCACGTGGCCGTAAGTTATGCCCCAAGAGGGAGGTCATTTATCATTGACCTTCTCTTGAGCAAATCAAGGCTGGAAAGGTGATGTTTGTATTACCAAAAGATCCCCCTCCCCAATCTTCCACAGATTCAATTCCTGGAGACAGGCTTTGAGAGGATTGGCTTGGGCATGAAGTGGAAAAGATCAAAGATAGGAAGCCAGGCTCTGTGAAAGGAGACAGTTTGCAAACTAC